GGCCAGGAGCCATCCCATGAATCCCATGAAGCATCCAGGCTTGCTGTTGTTAGCTGAGCACCAGCACTGCTCCAGTGTAAGGTGCCATTCAGTTGTGAGTCAGACTGGAGAAACTGGGCTCCTTTCGCTGTAACGACTGTGGGAAGGACCTCTGTATTTGAAGCACCAGACCAGTCCCTGGGTTATGTAAAATAGAGACGCACTGAACCAGTAAGTGTAAGCACTTTGGTCATGTCCTCTGCACTGCGTTGAAGTCCTTGGGGGGTCTCACTCCCCTGGTTCAGGAGGTTAGCTGGGGATGGAGCAGGGTGTGCATAATGTAAGGGTGGCCAAGAGTGCATCTGCAGGAGCATATTTCTTACGCTGTGTAGTACAGTCAGCCACCACATCCATTGCTGAGGTGTTTTTCTGCATGAGGTGGCAATCTTTTGTGATTCGGTTGTGCAGGTGTGCTCTCACGCAGACCAGATTTTCCAGGATACACCCCCCCTGCCCATTGCTTTTAATGTCACTATTATACTCCTCTTGTGCAGCATATTACAGGGAATCAATGGGGATGATGACACTGAAAGATCTGTTGCAAATTATTTTAGCTTGTGTATTTTGGTAGTGCTCGGCACTTTTCAAGCAAGGTCTGAGCTCAGATAAACTCAGAATTACAGTATATACAGAACACAATTTTAAAAAAGCACGTGGCATGTAAAATGTCTGTTACAGGACTTGTTTGTTCCAGTAGCGATTGCAACCATTAAAAGATAATCAGCGTGAGCTTAGTGAAGAGGAGGTGTGAAGACAACACTACTGAGCAAAGGGAGAATAGCTAGTCACCAAAGCAAATGCAAGGAGGGACATTGGAGAGGCAAATGGTGCCTGTATCTCTTAGAAAAGGGAATAATATTCCTGGGAACGGTCCAAGGGCTGGCATATGAATGGGGGAAGGAATTGCTGGTCCTGAGCTGGCAGACTGTAAGGCATAGGGAGACAGAGAGCTCAAAACTGAGGTGTTACAGAGGAAGGATTGCACTATTGAGCTTAGCAAGTAAAGAGAAGAGCTGGCAGAAGATGAGAAAAAGAAGCAGATGCAGAAAAAATAAGAGAGGCTGGAGAAATTCAGAGGAGTGGGCACGGAGAATAATTTTAGTTGTAGCCTTTTGAATTGATTGACGTGAAGACAGCTGAGAAATAAGTAGGCTTCAGCTGAACACGGCAGAATACTTTGAGAGAGAAAAAATGCATTCGTCTGGACTTTTGCTGTGTGAGACTTTGGTCTGAAGGGCCAAGAGGGTCAAGATGGGCCACTTTCTGTTTGGCCTGAGCAAAGCGCTGGGGTAACGTGAGGTGTTCTGGTGTGAGACAACAGCAGTGTGAGAGCTGCCAGCTAATTCACTTTGGACACCGGGGGCAACACGTCCTATAGATGCAAGACATGGTGAGTACCTGGAATGGGGAACCAAAGTCCTCGTCTAGGTTTGGATCTTTTCCATATCTCCCCTGGCCGTGCTTTTTTCCCACCCACCTTTGCTTAGCAGTATGAAGATACACACAGATTGGTGTGTGACTTGCCAAAAGTAGTTTGAGAAGCCTACTGAGTGCTGAGCATGAGAACAATGTCTCACATTATTATTCTGCTATTGGCGCAAGATTTGGACTGATTTAGACAGCACTTTTTGTCCTGCTCTAAAACACCAAGGCCTGGGACTTCTGGATCCCTTCTTCCTCTTGGATATTTACTTAATACTCAAAGTTACTTTTTCCATCTGTAGCTGTCTAACAGACTTGTCCCCTCTCAGTTTACTCATCTGTCGATGAACATTTGTGAATTCACATTGCATATTGCACTGGACTTGGCAGCTCTGGAGATGCTTTAGCTGTTTCAGTAGAAGTTGTTGGACTTCCAACCACCATTTCTGTGATTCTGTGATAAGTCTTTTCCTGTACTTTTTCTACAGGAGAAAAAGTGGCCACAGTGTTTAAGCCACTTCCATCTGGTGTCTTAAATTACATTCAGAGTAAGTCCTTCTGGTCACATTTCTATGGGGATTGGAACCTTTGGCAGAGGGACAGAAAGAAGGGTTTGGGGCAGTGATGCCTTTAACTGCCACAAGAAGTTTGTCAGTCAGTGCCCTCAGCAGGATATCAGGGTTTTCAGCGTCATAGCTGGTGCCACCATGGGGAACCGAGCTGCATTTTGCTGGAAGCTGGGCAGGTTTGGAAAGGGGACAGTGGCTGTCTGGGAAGACAGCTGATGCGGTGAGGTGGTTGTTCAGCAAGTCTGAATCTCCTTCTTACAAGTGCCGAGGGCGACTGCTGGCAATGAACCACTTTCCTGACAGGAGGTCAGGGTCTGTTTTCTGCTTTGCTGCCATTTCTTTCATAAGCAAGTTTATACACGTGGTAAAAGGGAGAAACTTAATTTTCCTTTGTGGGAGCAGGAGCCAGGAGAGTCCACTGGCTTGTGAAGCAGTCAGACACCGAGAGTTAGTTGGGATAGATTTCTTGCTGCTTTTGTAGGTATGAGAGAGATGGAACAGAGACGAGCAGCAAAATAATTTGCAGGTTTTAATCTTGCAACATATAAAGATGGTGGCCTTGTCCCCTGGGACAGAGGTACTTCAGGATTACTTTTGCTTGTCACTTGATGCACTTGTCACAAGATGAAGTTTCGACCCGTAGTGCATGTCCTGATGAGGTTTAAGGCCTCAGCTCTTGCTTATGTTCCTACCGAATAATAAATGTCCCCACTGATTTCAGTAAAGTCTCTATGTAAAATCTCTCTAAGTAAAGCTGGTCACCCTTGCCCACCTTGCATGTAGCTGGCTAAAGGAGTACGCAGTGCTCAGAGCTGAGAGACTGTGGAAGGGTTGTTCGTGGACCAGTGCTGATACCATGGGAGGTGGAGCAGCAAGTATTGCAACTTTCTATGACTTGCCGGAAAAGTAGATGTGTGAGGCAACAAGACATCAAAAAGTGCAAGCAATATGCACCTGTATCCACCACATTTAGTCAATCATGAATTACCATTGCTAACATCATATTCAAGGACATTTTCTACTATTCTGTTTCCCTTGCATCCACCTCCTCTGTCAGAGAATGGGTTCCTTACGGTCTTAGCTGGGTTTCGACCATGGCTGGTGCCAAGGCTGATGTGTCCCGGTAACCTGATGCAGGTTTCTGACTAGAACTTAGATAAAATTCATCTTCGGTTCAGTGGCACACTGCAGCCAGCATGCTATAAATTGCTGTTATTTTTTTTCCAAGTTTAACCTTTTCTATAAATGGCTTGCTGAGATTTTGAGATCAGCTCTAATTGCCGTAACCTGTGTGTAAGCCAAGAGATGGCTATAACAACACACAATGGAGGGTTCAACCCTCCAGCCCATACTTAGGTGAAACCCCTGCTGATGCCAATGAATATTGTCATCAATAAGATGTTTGTTGTGCTTCCCTTCTAAAAGCAAAGCAAAGATGACATTTACAGTGAAAAAATCCCCATGGAGTTAGTAGCTGTAGGAGTAGCTCTTTTCGACTATGTGATTAAGGACTGAAATTGCTAGCTGAATAGAAAGTCAGGTCTCAGATCTTTTAAATGAATAAAGATGAATGAATATATTGGCTACAGACCAAGATACAGCATTACTACAATCAACATAATCCTTCTGAAATGAATTGCCATATACTGGCGTGCATTTGTTAAGAAAAGGACCTTAAAAGCAGGATTCTCCATTAGTGGCCTATCGGAAATGATGCCTCAAGGATACAATGTTTTACAAGCAATTCCCTGAGTTGATTCAGGGATCACCCTAGCTAAAAATTACTTCCTATGGAGGGTAACCTAGACGTGAAATTCAAAAGGAAGGATAGTGCTGATTAAAAGCAGATCTTCTATAAGCAGACAGTACTTCATGAAATCCCATTTACAGCTCTTTGATCCTTGTGAAAGGATTTTAAGCAAGCATTCCTCTTGGGAAGGATGTCTTTCTTCTATTGCCATTAAGTTTTAAAATGTTCCTTATTTGTAAGTACTTTGTTAAAAGCAAGGTAATTTAACTGTATTGTATCACAACTCCTGAACAAACTCGCGTGGTTTGTTGGCGTTCTACCAACACACAACTGGGTCTGAATCTGACCAGCTCTGACAATAGACAACCAAAGATATCTACAAAGGAAATATCTTTTAAATCTCTTGTACATTATGGGCAATAACTCTGTGAAGAGGAATGCACAGAAGCACAGAGGAGCTCCGAGTGTCTCCCTCCATTGTCTGCCAGTGAGACTTTTGCCTTTGAGAAACTTCCCTTGCAAATTGTCTTCTTGTGGAGATTTGACTAATCAAGGAGAACACAAACTTCAGCCTGTGGCTTTTGAACCTTCCCTCTAAATTGGGGATTCTGTGTCTTTTCTAACTCTCAGTGGCCTTTTTAAAGCCTTAGCAACAAAGGATTCTCAAATGCTAAAAAAGTAAAGATTGATGCCTTGGCTGCAAGTCTGATAACGTAGCCTTATGCTTTCTTATTGTCTATTGCCTTTAATCTGATGTCTTTTAAACCACACACATTTGTAGGCAGAGAACTGGAAATACAGGTGGATTTGGAATTTAAGCTGTTTTCAAATGGCTATTTAGCATAATATCCTTAGTCATCTTCAGGGCCATTGACTAATCTGGTTTTTAGAGAATATAGCCATTGTTGCTCTGGAGATGTAAGGACAATGCTATATTCTAGTAAGTCCTTAGAATTATGCAAAGGATGAAATCACTGCTGAGTGTTTCCTTCTCTTTTAGCCCTGGAAAATCTGGGGCTAAGAGTGTTGCAAAGACTTTTTCAGTTGGCAACGGCTGCAATGCAGCAATCGTAAAAGTCCAAATCCAAGAATGAAGCAGTGCTTAGACCCATATGCTGGGTATGTTATATGAAGTTCATTGTAGCTAAATTATAAAGCAAACTGTAAATAATTAAAAAGACATCATTTACTTGATTTAGAGCTGGAAATGTAATAGATAGACATTCCTTTCATGGAAGAAAAGGAAAAATGTAATAGCATATATCAGAATTACAGTCTGGGCAGATGCTGCTATTTGATGAAAACGCCGCTCTTGAAATCCCTTTGAATCTTTTCATATGGCTAGAACAGATAATGGCAAATTCTTTCTTCCCCCCCCCCAGCTCCATCTTGTACGATAGAGGTGTGGTTTTCTCTGAAAGATGCCTGCAGGTGCAGTACCATGGGTACCGATACTGAAGAGAAGTGTGTGATTTGCTATAACTTTTGCTGCATTTTATTTTGACATGCTGCATAAATTTGAAATAATGTTTATTCAGTAAATCTTATGTCAGTTTTATTTCTTCTGTTACTGTGTTTTTTAGTAGTTCCAGAAGCAGACTGAGAACTGCATATGTAAAAAATGTATTTGAATTTTGTTGTGTGTAATATTTTTAATTACCTCTAGCTCTGAGTGGAGTAGGTGAATGAAAAAAGGCTAATGTTAAATTTCTTTGCAATTGTTCCTGCTCTAACATTTGAATCATAAATATTTGGATCATATTTACAAATTACCCAGAGTTGAGTGATTTACTGACCAAAGGAATTTGACTTCACTTGTAATTGCGCAGAGCCCACTGCAGATTTCAGCACTGCAGCAGGGCTCAGGCTCATCACCCGGCAGGTTGATGCAGACGCTGCTTGTCTCTGCTGTCCTTGTACCATTGGGAGCGTATGAAAATACGGACACGCTTCACAAGAGCTGAGCCAAGCTGATTTAAAAAACCCAGCAATACAGGCAATTTGTACAAATTGTGCCAGTCACCAGCTTACAGACGTTTCATGTTGCTCTTACTGTAATGCAAACAATAGTTGTAAGGGAGCGAAAGCCACCGCCTCGTGTCTGAGCAGCTGGCCCCTCCTCCTGCAGCAAACGTTGCTGAGTTTGTGGCATCTCCTGCTGCTGCCACGAAAATTGCTGTCATGTCACGGACTAAGCTCTGGGGCTTTGCTGCCAGATTAAGCAGGAGAAGCTAGACCGCGATTAGCAAAAAATCATGAGGAAAGCAGCGCGCAGGGTTTGAAGGTGAAGAGCTGTGAATAATAGGAATGGCTGTATCATACTCAGCAGCGACCTTAGCTGGGAGGTGCCAGAGTGCTTGTAAAATGGAGCTGCAGGGAGACAGAAGATAAGCATCGTTGCTGTGCTGATGCTGTGTCATAGCCAGGCACAAAACCCGGAAGCAAACAGCGTTGCATCGATGCGGTCGCATCATTGCAGCAGTGACGGGTGGAGGAGAGACACCTCAGCTCCCACACCCCGCAGTGATTGCTGAGCAATGGCATGGATTTACAGTGGTGCTTTCCGTACCTCCCATGTCAATGAGACCAGTTTTTTTTTCCCCTTGAGTCTTGGCACCTAATGAATTGCTTAGTTTATATGTTCAATACAATACCCCCTCTCTGTTTTGCCATGTTCCCTCTGTCTGTCCTTGGCAGGCTGGAGGGAGGAGAGGGTCCAAGGCAGCTTCCCTTGGCTTGCACCGGGAAGAGCTGGGCTGGCAGCTTCTCGTGCCAGGCAATGCACTGAAAACTTGGTTTGGAGCCCTTAGGGCTCAGCAGGCAGGGCACCAGTGACGAGACATCTGTTAGCTGAATAGAAAGGTGGCAGCCACCCTATAAAGGCTTACACTATTGTCACCTCCTGAGCTGAGTAATGAGCACATTGTTGTTTGCGTTGTGAGAGCACCCGAAGGTCACCCGAGTGGCTGAGAGTACATCTGAGAGCTAGACAAAGAAAGTGTCCTGCCTGGAGGGGGTTACAGCTGGGAAGGGGAAATATGGGCCAGTACTGCATGATTAATTCATGAGCTTCAGGTCACTCCACCCTGCTTTCCCCAGGGTGCTACAGAGTGTGGCTGTCCTCCAGCGTGGAACATTGTCCATGTAGAAAAGGACTTTGGTCCCTAGTTTTTCTGGACGTTTGGCACTTAGTAAGAAAACTGCAAGCAGCCTGCCTGACATCAGGCCCCCGGTAAATAATAAATGGCCCCTGACCATTCACAGCCGAGCTGCATGCCCGAGGAGGCTAACCTACTCCACAGACCCTGTGTGTGCCCAAATTTCTGTCCACGATTTCATTGCAGCAAGTACCAGTGACCTAAAACAGTGCAGGAGCGCCCAGGCGTCAGTGGCGGTGGCATTGGTGCAGGGTGGCAGCATCCCTTTGCCTTCAGGCCAGGGCTGTGCCTGTCCTTGAAGCCCATGCTTAGGCTATGGCAGGGAATGAATACTTACATGCTGACCGAGGGTTTGTGTGAAAGTTTATTTCATGAATAATATCTCAAATTGCTTGTCAACATTAACCCATGCCTCCCTGCTAATCAGTTAAGTTTGTATAATTTTTCCAGCACGTTCATGGAAATGCATCTATCTAGGTAGGTGCACACAGGCATTTGGTACCGCTGCTTTGGCTAAGGACAAGCCACCCCTGGTCCGGAGCAGGGTGTAGGAGGCAGCGCCTGTTTGCTTGGGCACATCATACTGCCGGGGTGTCCATGTGGCACTGAAACCCCACCTGGGTTGCTTGTGCCCATCAGCACCATCTGTGTAAAGGTACCCTGCTTTGCTTGTGCTCCTAGCTTGCAGCAATCTGTAACGTGTCCTACAGACACGCTGACACCTCGAGCTGTCAAAACCCTTTTTCTTCTGAATTTGCTGATTTGCTGGAATGGAAATGTGTGTCGGAGATGTTTCCACATCTATCAGGTCCTGATGAAAGCTGGGTAAGGCTCCACGGCACCTTCCCTGGTGGCTTGGCAAACTACCTCGGGAGCATCAAGATTTGTGGGTTTTTGGCAGCCTCGTCTCCCATGGCTTCCTATTCCTGGCTGGGGGCAACCTTAGCCACAGGCCAGCTCAGGTGCAGAACCTGCTCCCTTTTGCAACAATTTTGAATGGTTTGTATTTTCTTCTGAGAGGGAAGGTGTCAATAATTAAAATGTTGAAAGTCTCCATAAAGTACAGTTTTCTTTCTTCACCAGAATTTCTTAGACCCTCTGAAATTATGAAGGCGAGACTTTGTAGCTAAACATTCAGTAATCCTTTATAAACTGTAAGTAAGGCTTAATTTAGTGGATGACTCACATAATTGAGTGCTTTCTTGAAACTGCATTTATCCTTTTTAGTTTCAGATTATTCTAATACCTAGTTTTGCCACTTACATATGTATATTTATATATAAAAACGTATAAAATCCTTATGTCTACAATTATTATTCTGGGTTTGTACTTCTGCTTTATTTTTATGTCTGTCTTATTTTCCCGGCCTGTTACATTTGTTTCTATTTATTATGCATCTTCTCCTGTTTTAAAAGAAATAAAATGTAGGACATCTTGATGACAGCGTAGATTTTTGACTCATTAGCAGTGACAGATGCAGTGCTCTGGTAACGTTCCCTGCCCGTATCAATAAGCTCTTGCCTCTTGTAATTGGACAGTATTAATGTTTAGGAAGGCAACTGAATGAGCTTAAAAAGAGCTCACAAGATGATGGTCTCCGCAGGTCAGCAGGTAGTGTGATAAATCATCACGGTGAGGAGATGCAACTGCCAGCATATGGCAAAATAACTTACTAGCGTTCAGGGTGCTGATGCACAAGTCCTGCGATTACAAGCGGCAGTAGAGAGCCTGGGGAGAAAACAGGGAGCCTGCTCTGGCAAATTCCAGACTGAGGACTTGCATTCGTCTCCATTCTTTAACGAGAGGGTACCAACATCTGAGGCAGGTCCCGGGGACGTATTTCATTGTAGTTCTGGGCCTTCGTTCCCTCCCAAGGTCACCTCGCTGCTGCAGCACATGGAGAAAAGCCTCAGACCTTCTGTGTACATACTCTTTTGTCATGCGCTGTATTTAAAATGTCTTTTCCCCCCTTCTTTCTCCCCTTGAAATGTCTGTTTCTCCCTTTTTGCTTTTCTAGAATGATATAGAGAGCTATAGAGGCTTTGAACCTGCAAAATGTTCAAATACAAGCTGAAAAGTAAATATGCTACATGTAACTGAGGAGTTACATTGAAGAGAGCTTGTTGTAACACCCCTAACTCTGACTTGGCGCTTTTTAATCAATACATTTTTAGGAGGTCTGTGTCATTGTCCTGGTTTTATAGATGAGGAAACATATCAACTTGTTTAATTGTTTTCTAAACTGGGAACTTGGGACATGCATGGTTTATATGCGTGAGTCATCCTGTAATTAAACCAAGAATTGAGTCTGGGGAGAGGAGTATAAAACATGGACAAAATGGAGATTCTGAGTTATTGTTTAGTGAGCCAAGGAAATAATTTACAATAAATGGCTTTTTTATATATGAATAGGAAAAGAAGGTTCTGACTGCTTTAGAGTTTTCCAGCATTCACAGTCACTTGGCAAAAGTCTTTCCAAAAGCGTTATGTACTGAAGTTACAGACTTTCCCTGTCTCTGGGTAAGTGGTAGAGTGCTGGCGATTCCAGTATGACTTCTTCAATGAGGGAGTTCAAATATTGGTTCTCAGGAATATGCAGTGGTAAAATTTGCTTTCTGTAAAATGTATTTTTTGAGAACAGAGTGTAACCATTTGAATAGAGAAAAAGGGAAACAGATGATTGTTGTGAACAGTGCCCCAGCAGACCTGATATTTGAACAGTTCTTCATGGGAAAAAAATGTTTGCTTTCCGGCACTTCAGAAAATACCAGGAGGTAGTAGCTCTCTCTGCTGTTCGTATGATATTTCAGGTAAACCAAACTTTGGAGGCTACACTCCCATCCTCATTCACGGACTAAGTGAGATACGGCGTGAGGAGCCTCAGTACAGAGTGCCCCCAACTAATCAGCAGCCTTTGACCTGCAGGAATCGCAGATTAGACAACAATTCATTCTTCATGCCCACTAGAAACTAGATTTTCTGCTGTGGGTCTGTAACACAGTACAGGAGGTCCAAGCTGTGGGCCGTGTCCCTTGACCGCCTCGCTGGAGCAGCCGAGTTGACCCTGCTGAGCTGATGTTGCATAAAGCAGCTCCCCTGGGCAGGAATTTCTGCATTACAGAGCTCAGCAGCCTCTCCTGACCTTGTCCATTCCCATTTCAAGCTCTGTTACTCTTCCAGGGGTGCCGAGAGTCCCAGGTGAGCTCAGCTTGGCTATTCCAGTGTTGGGCAGTTTGTTCTGGGGCCTTCTGTTCCCTTTTTGGCCTTTGTACAATAAGGTGGTGGTAAAAAGGGGATGTAGCGGGATTTCAGGTGTTTTCATGTGCAATGAGTTCTGCTTTGAGGAAAAAAAGACTGTGATGACCATGAGGCCTCATGTTCCAAAAGTCAGAAATAAACACTCAGTGAAACTATGGTTTTCCTCTCCGCTGTCTATGTTCCCACCTGAACCTGTGGCGTAGACATTTATATAGGGTAAGTGCTTTGATGTTAATGGCTTTCTATATAATATAAGCCTATTTGGTATCATCAATATGTTATTATGTTTATTTATTTCAACAAACCCACATTTCTTCCTTTTTTTTTTTTCCCCCAGAGTGACCGACTACTCATTAAAGGTGGAAGAATTATCAATGATGACCACTCCTTCTATGCAGACATATACCTTGAAGATGGACTTATAAAGTTGGTTTTTTTAAATATTGAACTTTTTTTGCATGCCTGTTAGTATAGACTACTGTGATGGTGCTGACCTGCAGCCAGCGTCTTGGTTACCTCTAGATGTGGGGCCATAGTAAAGGAGTGTTTAATTATGAAATTCTGTCATTTTATCTTTACTAAGATTAGATAAGTAGAAAATTAATTTACTGTAAGGTGAAGGTATTTGCTTTTCAAACAGTTCAATCCTAGTTTCTTCCAAAATAGTCAAGGCAAGTAGGCTCTCTCAAGAAGTAATGCTAAGGACAGTGGATATTTTTCAGTCCATATATGACAGAAGGCTCATTACAGCTTTTTTCTCCACACCTAATCAGGGTGAATGCAGCCATTCTCTAAAGGATTGTGTGGCACAGAAATACGCCCCGTGTTACACAGTGCTAATGGGAACCTACTCCTTCTCAATTCTCCTGTTGGTTAATGCTGAAGCATAGCATGTTCTGTTCGTACAACATTGTTATGCATTGCTCATATGTCCCTTTTGTTTAGCAAAGGTATATAATCTTCACACAATTAGACAGAAAATCCTACTGATCTGTGAGGATATAAAATACAGGAACTGGGAAAGTATTCCTTAGGTGAAAAAACATAAAATACATGTTACTGATAGCCTGGGAAACAGTAACAGAGATGTCTATTCATGTACCTTTACTGGTCCTACCTTGGCTTAGTGGAGATGGGGGTCTTTAGTTTTGCAAAGTTACGTAGTGTGTACGAGCACTCTGATGTACACAAGTGTTGTGGTTTAACCTGGCAGGCAGCTAAACACCACACAGCCATTTGCTTGCTCCCTGCCCCCACAGTGGGATGGGGGAGAGAATCAGAAAAAAAAGAAGTAAAATTTGTGGACTGAGGTAAAGACAGTTTAATAGGACAGAAAAGGAAGGGGGGGAAAAAAAGCAATAATAATAATGATAAAAGTATATACAAAATAAGTGATGCACAATGCAATTGCTCACCACCTGCTGACCGATGCCCAGCCAGTTCCCGAGAAGCAGTCAACACCCCCGGCCAACTCCCCCCAGTTTATGTACTGAGCATGACGTCACATGGTATGGAATGTCCCTTTGGCCAGTTTGGGTCAGCTGTCCTGGCTGTGCCCCCTCCCAGCTTCTCGCTGGCAGGGCATGGGAAGCTGGAAAGCCCTTGACTAGTGTAAGCAGTGGTTAGCAACAACTAAAATATGGGTGTGTTGTCAACATTATTCTCATGCTAAATCCAAAACACAGCATTGTACCAGCTACTAGGAAGAAAATTAACTCTATCCCAGCCAAAACCAGGACAACAAGGATCAAAGCCTTTTTCTTGACTGCTAAACATTTTCACTAGTGACCTAGCAAGTTTGGTCTCCAGAGGCTACAATTTAATGCACAGAAACATAATTATGGTTATCTCATAAATAATTCATTACGTACTTGTTTTCAGAGCTCCTTTTCTTAAGAATGTATCATCAGATTAGAAGTCTGATTCTTTATATATCTGTGGCTACTTACATTATTCATGATTCAGGTTATTATAACAGAAAAAAATTCTGAATGCTTGTATCCATGGACTATGCGCTTTTCTTTTTAATACTGTGCTCTGCTTTTCCAGTTGTAGTGTTACTTGCATTGCAGAAGTGGCAAAAGGAGCATATAATTTTAAGTGGAGAAGGCACAAAGTTATGAGCACGTATATTTTTTAATAGCAACAATCAACCAAGTTGTACTCTCTCTGATAGGCATTTTAGTTGAGTCTTTCACTGCTTTTGTTTGTTCAGATGCAGATTTCCCAGTAACACTTGTAAGCATCAGAACTGATATAACAACTAAGTGCATGAGATGCTGTGAGTCTGAAACTGCTGTGGATTTTTGGCCTTGATTCCCGAAATGCAATGGTACTCGGTAGGCAGGTTAGCAATGCCAAGCTTTCAGCTGCCCTGCCATTTAGCAGCCCTTGGTAGGTGCATAGTCTCCCTGTGTGTCCTGGTTTCGGCAGGGGTAGAGTTAATTTCCTTCCTAGTAGCTGGTACAGTGCTGTGTTTTGGATTTAGAATGGGAACAAAATTGATAAGGCACCGATGTTTTAGTTGTTGCTAGGTAGTGCTTACACTAGTCAAGGACTTTTCAGTTTCTCGTGCTCTACCAACTGAGAAGGCTGGAGGTGCACAAGAAGCTGGGAGGGGGCACAGCCAGGACAGCTGACCCAAACTGGCCAACGGGATATTCCATACCATGGGACGTCATGCTCAGTATATAAAGCTGGGGGAAGAAGAAGGAAGGGGGGGACGTTTGGAGTGATGGCGTTTGTCTTCCCAAGTAACCGTTACGCGTGATGGAGCCCTGCTTTCCTGGAGATGGCTGAACACCTGCCTGCCCATGGGAAGTAGTGAATGAATTCCTTGTTTTGCTTTGCTTGCGTGCG